TGTAAACTATCGTCAGAAGTGATGATATTCATCACGAATATTTCACTACTTGAAAATGCTTCAATGAATCACATATAGGATAATCGAAGAAAAAAACCTTTGTGAATATGCAACCCTTTGAAAAACTGATTTTCGTTTAGTAATTTTGGAGTGAAGAAGATTCACTAACGGCAATTATTACAGACGAACAGATAAAATCAACGTGGATCCTCACAAACAAGTACATCACTTGAAGTTGCCACAGTTCATGGCAGCATTCAAGGAACAAGTGGATAGAAATAGTCTGAGATCACAGTAGATAAAGTTATGTATGAGGATAAGGAGTTTAAAAATGAAGGTTTTCTAAAATGTTTCAGGCTTTAGAAGACGTCAGACAGTGAATACATCTCCGCTATTGTGACGGATTTTCAACCATATCACCAAAAGTCCTCAACCGTTGATTCCAATCGTCTCGTGGATCCTAACCAAGGTAGTCTATACCTCCCTACACGGCTAATACCAATAGTCAGAAACTTCATTCACTGACGAATGCTACGTCTTAGCCTGACCAGCATTGCACGTTGGAGTAGCTAGTGGCTCGGCACTCGCAACACATTCAAAAAACCAACTCAATCATTGAAGGTTCACAACCTCGTCGACTGACCTGTCTGTTTTGCAGGTATGAGTTTCAATGATGAGTTTTAAGATGAATGGATGTGCCAACTATATCTTTCATCTGTGATAACGTGCATTTATTTGGATATCTAGTCGCTGATAGAATTCTGCCACAGATGTATGAGGTGTTAATCCACGTTTGCTAGCCTGAAGGTACACATAGTGTCATCGATTTACCTATAAATTATCTATAGCCCAGTATATAACTGAGTTGTATGCTTGATTGTAAAACATATTATCTACCTGCAGAGGATTTGAGGTTATTAAGATTTAGTCATTACCATCCTAAAATAACCGGTCACACATAGAGTTGAATACGGCATGAGCGATATCGCACTTAGTTTTAGGAAACTAGATAATGAGCTGAGACAACTAGGCAACGCAATCAACTTTCATCGACTAATATAACTGTGAAACACTACTCATCTGTGGTTATAGCTTGCTCCGAGTCATGATTTCGGATGAGGCTGTTAGATATTTTAAAGCCGTTGAGATCAATTCTAGCAAAGTGGTGGCGGTAAAGTATGCAATATCTTACTTTCAATTTAAAGTTGTGCGAAAAGTAACTGATGCAAGATAGGGATTATAAGCCGGTAACAGTAAACTCAATAGCTCAACACCCTACCTACTGATTTATATCCATCCATTGTTGGTTCACATTGTCTTAAGATTATTTTCACTTTCTTCATATTCATCCTGTCTAGCTGCTATAATGTAATGTATTTATGCACAAACTGTTATACGTACGTAAACGTACAAAAGTGCATTGTATAGCTATTCCTGAAATAGTTGTCTGTAACTGAACAAAATTTCTTGTTGGCTGAATATAATGATCGATGTGGCCTCAGGTAACTCTGACTTCACAGGGATTAATTGAACTCCTGGATGGCATCTAGTTGATTTTGAGTACGCAGACGACATTATTTTGCTAGATGAAGACGCTGACACAATGAAGGGTCTTCTGCATGTGTTGAGAAGAAACTTGAGTCTGTTTGACGAATATGCATTTATTATTATTATTATTTGCCCCTTGAGTTCCTAATGGAACATAGGGATTCAGTAGCACGTCTACAGTGAACTCTTCTCTGAAATCTTTTGAACCTGACTCCACAACAGCCCAGAAGCTCTCATTTCCTCCTCGCACGATCTCCTCCATGTCACCCTCACCAAGGACGACCAACTCGTCGTTTCCTATCTGGGTTCCACTCGAGTACCTGGTATGTGATGTCCACACTCCGCCTTCTCAGTGTATGCCCAACCCAATACATCTCCACTTCCTTCAAGTGCATATTTGTCGGGCGATAGATAGCTTCCTGGTTGGTTCGTTGCCAGCCAGAGTTCCTTGTTGCTTATTCTTATTATTCTGGCCATCTGAGCTTCAGTAACGAGCCAGTGTAGGTGACAGTTGTTGATGAAAATCTGTAGTTTGTTGGAAATGCCTTTCATAACGCACCAAGTCTCTCAACCATCACATAGTACCACTGACTTGACTGAGTTAGTGTTGAAAATCCACATCTCGTTCACGCTTTATGCTGAGTGCTGTGCAGAAGATCTGGTTAATGAACACCTGTCTTGCTGGCTTTTCCGATGCTGACTACTACTTTGACGTCCTCGTCTGTGCCTGTGCCGCCTGTAGTGGAAACGATGCTGCTTTGCCTAGATAGATGAAAGAGGCTACTTCCTTGAACTTTCTCCCATTGATGGTGATTGGAGCTTGTTGTTGCTGTTGTTGTTGTTGGTGGTCGTGGTTGAGTATCTTCATCACTTCTGTCTTCTCTACGTTCACTGAAGGAAGTCCCGTCACCCTTCGCCACCCTGCCTCTTCTGTCAACTTGTTAGTTTTCGCCTGTAGATCTTCAAGTTTGTGTGATACTAGACACAAGTCATCGGCTAAATCCAAATCTTGTAGGATCTTTTCCCGGTCTAGCCAGCGTATGCGCCTCTTCTCGCTCCTCACTGTTTGTTGCATGATCAAGTTCATTACAATCAGGAATATCATGGGTGATAGTAGACAGCCTTGTCTTACTCCTGTCTTCATTTCACTTCAAAGGCATCACTGAGCTGAGCTTTCCATTGTGGATCACTTGGCATGTGGTGTCTTTATATAGTTGTTGAATAAGACTGGTCAAGGTTTGCGGTATTCCGTACTATTGAAACAGTTTCCAAATTATCTCTCGGTCGACGCTGCTGAAGGCCTTTTCACAGTCGATGAAGTTGAGGTAAAGATCCAGTTGACTACCATTCTATACTCTGTTCTATGATGATGCTTAGAGTAGAGTTGCAATTTGGTCCGCATATGATTTGTACTTGCTGAATCCAGCCAGCCTGTTCTGGTCATAGTTTTGAATCCAGTGCGTCGTTTAGTCTCTCCAAGATGATGCGGCTTAATATTTTGCTTGCACTGGGTGGACAGGAGAGTGATTCCGAGCCAGTTCTTGCAAAGTCTTAGGTCTCCCTTCTTCGGCAGTTTGACAAGATAGCCCTTCTTCCAATCAATGGGCAGGTACCTTCTCTTCCTTCCAGACCTTCTGCAATAATGGTGTGAGGATATCCGCTGTTGTGCCTGCATCTGCTCTCAATGCTTCAGGCAGGATTCCATCTGGTCCTGCTGCTTTCCCACATTTCAGTAACTTTATGGCGTTCAGGACTTTGACTTCTGTTGGAGGGCTTGTGTTCACTTGTAGTTCAGCGGGTGTATGTGGTATTTCTGGACGAAGTGCAGGTGGTGGTGGTGGTGGTGGTCGATTCAAGAGCTTCTTGAAGTGGTCAGCTTATTGTTTCCTTAGTTTCTCATTTTTGGTAGTTAGATTTCCTTCATTATCTCTCATTACTTTCATCTGCGTTGATCTCTTCCTTACCAGATAGTAACTTGGTTATTTGATACAATGTTGTCAGGTCTGTGTCTCTCCTACCAGCCTGCAGCCTTTTCTGCTTCACTTGCCAGTGTGTGGTGGAGGTGTCTTTTGTCTTTGCGTGCACTCTTCTTCACTTCTTTGTCCAGTGTTTTATACATTGTGCTCAGTTCCTGTTGTCGTTGTGCATCCTTGTACTAGTTCATCTTCTACTTCACCATCCTCCTCTCCTTGCTCTATCAGCTTCCATGTGTCCATCGAGATCCATTCGTTGTCTTCTTTCTTCTTCCTTCCTAAAACGGTTGTGCAGGTTTCTTTCCACATCTCTTTGAAAGACTTCCAGTGTTCATCCACAGAGGTTTCTTCAGGGATGTTGCTGGATATCTCCCATTTTTTCTTGATGCATTTAGCACCTGTCAAATATAAGGTGATTCTCCAGGACTGGCCTGCAAATACCCCCAGTTTGATGATAAGTAGGTAAGTGGTGGAATGCTTCAATTGAGGATTTGCATCAGCTCATACGACCTTGTTGCTGACGAAATCTCACTTCTATTTACTCTCTTGCATCATTTGTGGCGCTACCTACCAAGATATCCGACTACCTTTGAAAGGATGAGTAAACTGGACTACAGTCCGTTCTGTCTTGTAGAAGCGATGAAGCAGTTATAGGTGTTCCATCAAATGTGTCTCCGAAGCAATGCTCACGTATTGTGGAATCACTATTTGAGCAGTATTGAAGTCAAGCGAGGGATACTAAGGAAGACAGGTAAATGAGAGTATGAGGTTGTGAACTTCCATCGACTGAGATGGATTAGACACATACTGCACACGCCGAGACACCACCTACCTCACCATAAAATGCTAGTAAAAGTTGAATTAGGTTAGAAGAGCACACAAGTCTATGAGTTAAATCCCTGACTAATGGTCTCAGTCGTGTAGAGAGTCAAAGAGATGATCGTAATTAGTGATTGAGAACTCTTGGTGACATGGCTTGAAATCGATCACAATGGTGGTGATATATTCACACTTTGATATTTTCTAAAGCTTGAATATTTGCGTTAACCTTTATCTTCAAATTATTTATTCTCTCATTCAACTTAATCTACTTTGTTATCACTAATTTTCTATCCATTTGTTCTTTATATACTACTGTGAAATGTAGCTAGTTGAACCGATGCATTTGTGTTGGAGGTTCTCCATTAACTTTATCCGTCTGTCCCTCTACAGACTAGACGATAACCTAACGACGGCTGATCGTTAAATCTTGTTGCATATAATACTGTTAACACTGACATTACCTAGATGGTATACTTCTTCGATTGGAAAATATCGTATAACGGTAAATTTGTTGAAATACTACACAATGAGAATTCTATACTATATCAAATACATTGTATGGAATATAGTAATTATAGCTGCATAAATTTACCTCTGCAGTCCAACACCTGGTCATGAAATATATACTTCTATTGGTTGTTTTCTTCTAAATTTTAGCGCTACAGTCTCGCATCATCTTCGAATGGGAAACGTACAAACTACCCTGTTTCTGAACAGTCTACAGTAGAAAATCCAACCTCTACTGCAATTATCATTGACCAACCTGTAGTTTCCCTTTCAGTCCCAGTTAGAAAAGGAAGTTTAAATAAAGACAATGGATTTCATTGTACAGAATGGGCTGTTAAATTAAACCAGGATGAATATGATGAGAGTAGATTTATGAAAAAAGACTCCTCACCGTCACCACCTCCTCCACCGCCTGCATTTCTTGGAGCTGGTGATGCATGTGTAAGTCCGACAAATTCACCGCCGAGTTCTTCATACTCTCCACATTCACAATTGGTCCAGCAGTTACATAATACACATCAACAAATACAGCAATCCCATCAACAAAACCAACTAAGACATGAAGGACCCTGGCGTGTATTACCGTCCAACAATCCAGTGAATGGAACAAAACTACATCCAGTAAATTCATGTGATAACAGTTTCGATGATAAAGATCGGCAAGTAACTCAACCGCATAGAACATCTCAGCAAGCCCCAGTGTACAATTCACATTCATATCAGAATTTCGAAACTCAAAAGCAGCTCATTAACGAGTTGAGAGGACTGTACAGGGTAAGATTAGTAGTATTCTTAAACATACATGAATTATGATAATGCCTTTTATCCCCTTGTTTTTAATTAGTTGATACCGAACTGATTAGCCATTATTGGCATACAGGCTTCTGTGTGGATGCCTTGATATTATCAGTGGTTCCTGTTGGGTGATGATGATGGAAAATGACTAGTAGTGTAACCCACGAAGTACGTTCCCGTCCTACAAGCTATGACATCGAGCAGTACCCTTTGCACAAGGAGTGACTACCATAACTCAGTATCCTAGTGTGTAGTGTTCGAGCGTTTGGAGCATTGGTTAATTAAAATATAGTGGAGATGGATCAATGTGGTATGCACTCACTAGGGAAACGATTGGAGAACGGTAGACCGAACATTTCAAGGAACAGTTCAGCTGACCGCGAGTAACAATTCGCTTTCCTGCTATCCATTTGGATACTGAATGCAACGTTGAGACAGGGTCTACAAAGCTTGCAGACGTTGGGAAGTCTGTGAGTAATCTAAAACGAGGAAAAGCGGCATCATCAGATGAACTGGTATTTGGGATATTTAAAGACGGTGGTAGATTATTGGTCAGGTTGACTGAAGTGTTAGCTAACATATGAGGGCCAGATATAACCCTATCTGACTGATTTCAATAATTGATTGTCCTGGTCTTCAAAAAAGACAGAAATCCTCTTGTGATGTGACAGGGGAATCAGTCCGACCAACATAGTATTTGGGATTCTCAGTTCCCTATACATAAGTTGGTTAATATGACCTCAGAAATAACAAACCTGAGGAAACCAGGGAGTTTTCTGACCTTACTGTGGGTATACTGATAAGATATTTACCCTCTTTCAGATTCTGGAGCACAGGCGCACATACAGACACCCGTCACTAGCTGTATATCCTGAGCTGAAGATGGTATATGACTCCGTCGATTGAAAGATCTAATGTTAGTGTCTCTTTGAAGGAGGTGTTGAGTAAGTACATCACTTTGTTGAAGGCTCTGATAGAGCCCACGGTAATTTATCAGATGAGCTGTGTACATCGAGTGGTGTCTATCAAGCATGTTCACTCTCTCCATTCTTTTTTCACGAACGTAGGCACCCTTTTCGTCATCTAAATTTACAAGAATTGATCTTGTCACAGGAGAATCTCTGGTAGATCTAGACTACGCAGTTGATATATTCCTGACAAGATGCAGACTTTTGTAGATACTTCCGGTGGCAATTTGAGAATGTTTAGGATGCACTTCTAACCACCTAGATGAAAACTATTGCTCCAAGACTAGTCTTCGATGGTACTCAGTTTAACAATAGAAATGAAGCGGTTGAGTGCGCAGACAACATCATTTACCTAGGATTTCTGCGCATTCTTACTTGATGTGCTAATATTTAGTGTGGCAACTCTTACTGTCATGTGGTTCATACTATCTGTATTGGTTGGTAAGTTCAAATCTCGCTGTGAATATCATCACCAAGTGAAATGTAGGTACACTCAACTGATGAATTTCGAAAGAGATGAAACACCCATCCTAGATCTCATTACTAGCCATTAAGCATCTCAGCGGGATCAGATATAATTTTTCTTACAATTATTCTTTCTCTTTTTAACTGATTTCTATCTTAGTTTGACAAAAAAATGTTATGCCATGTTGGCATGGTATTAGTGTATAAGCTAATTTCGAGATACTGAATAGAATCCATTTCAACGGGTTTATTCAATCAAAACAATATGCAATAAACTCAGATTTTCATGTAGAGAACAGTATCGATGTGAATTAGTTCATTGATAAGCCTTAGAAAGAGTATCTAAAAGTTAATTCATTGTGTAGTAGCTTTTAAGAATTTGAATCCTTTACCTTCTATAAATAATTACGGAAGTACTTTAATTTTTTGGATCACTTTATTGTAATAATAGATAGTGGTTAGCAGCGAAATTCACGACGTGCGTTTCGTCCCACTTGGGACTCGTCAACTGGTCTTACCTGCCTCGAAGTGAGCGATATTTTTCCTACTAAGACTCGAACTCAGAACCGATGACTCCAAACGCTACTGAGTTATCTACTAGGAAACCGAGTCACAGTAGCCACTTCTTGGGCGATGGGTATAGTTTTTATGTTATTGCTTGTATTGTCCCGTCGTTAGTTGGACCGAATTGATCGGTCTCTATTGGCGTATAGGCTTCTGTATGGATGCCTAGATATTCCTTGTCTTTTCAATTTTCTAGTAATGATGAATAAGTGGCTATCAGTGAAATCAGAAACGCATGTTTCGTCCTACTTGAGATTCATCAATTGGACATGTCATTTACTAGGAAGACTGAAGATAATGCACAGCTGACAAACTGTAGAATAAGATTAAAGAGATTTTTAATTATTCTTTGAGATTTAGTTGTTACTTGACTTATTTTACAGACTATTCCTGGAGAATCATCTTACATCTGACAGTTGCAAAACGTATGTTCGCAAAACTTACTCCCATTTCTGCTGAAGGTGTTCAGAAGATTGTAGATTTTGTCAGTGTCTTCACGTAAATGTGGCAAAGTCGTCGGTGTACTACAATTAAATCAGATGCCGATATAATATGCTGTGGTTAAGTAGTAAAATATGGTCTACACTTATCATAGTAAGGTTGACTGATTGCTTAGGCTTTCATCAGATACAGTTTTATTCTAGTCTATGACTCACTGGGTCAATGGTTAATTGTTGAAATTATGCAGGTGTATGATTATTTCAAGTGGTCAAAATTCAATAGTCATGATTATTATTCATTCTCCTTTTATTAAGTGATTCTAACCATTGTGAATGTCAATGTTAGTGAAAGAAAGTGGCGACTAAGTGACTGATTGAATAAATTTTTACTTTGTTTAAGGAATTGTTGACACAATTTAGGACTTAAATAGTAAAATTTTGCTGAAATAAAAAGTACTTCTCATAAAGTTACCATATGATTAGAGCTACTAAAGACAAGTTGTATAATTGGTCCATTTTTTATCGATTTTGTTGATAAAAGAGAGTGAATTTCAAGGTTAAAAATTAAGTGAACAATCCTTAACTGTTTTTTTCTCATTAATTTCATGATAATGAATATTACTGATTCCATTTAGAGTTTTGTAAGGATTTATTGATTTAAAATTGGCATTTATCATGGGTTGATGTCATTTAAAGAACCATTGGTGGTACTCTGATGGCACTGAACATCTGTTTCGTCCTAATACCATGCTCTTAAGCAACACGAATCCATAAGCGCACCCAGAGTTGGAATCCAAGACCTTCAGGTTTCATGGCTAGGATGTTACTTTTGACCTACTGGGTCAGAATCCGATGGTTCACGGTTTCCTAATTTTGTCAGTAAGGTGTAACCTGCATTCAATGCCTTCATTGAGTATTTTTTTCTTCTAGCATCTGGTTTGTCCTATAGGTGACGACTTCTCATTAGAATTTCGAGAAATCTCATTTCGCGGCGAGTTATTATAGGACTGAGGAGTCACATGCTAGGACGAAACAGCTATCCAGTGCTCCTAACTTTTCAATCGTTCTTTAACTGATATTAGCCCATGATGAATATCAACTTGAAGTATTACAAACTATGAATATCATCAGTATAAATAAAAATTAACTAGTTATTGTTTACACAAACAAAGTCAAAATAAACATAACATAAGAAGAAAGTATACTGTTTACAATAAAATGATTTGACTTTCCAATTGATTGTACTGACCTTAGTAAAAATAATCGATGAATTATTCATTAGAAAAGATTCTAATATACCTTTCAATTATCCGCAGTCTTTGGCTTTCCATCCTAATGTTTTCACCTCGAAAGATTGTACGTATTATCAGTCAATTTTATGCATTTCTCACCTACGCATACTGATGCCTTTTATTGTTGAAGCGATCTTACTTTCGATGCTTGGAATATTTATATTCAAAGGTAAAATATGATTACGTCTTAGTAACCTATATATTGGTATCAGCCAAGTGGAAATCACTCGAACAAATCAATAATCAGACATTAAGTCAACAACAGAGGTCGAAGGATAACAATAATTATCAGAATCAATGTCTGTTGAGAAAGTTAGGCAGATCACCCTAACCCATAAGCCAATATCACTTAAGGTTGGTAAATATTCTTTACAAACATTCATCCAGCTTAAAAATGTTTCGCTTCTATGTGAAGTGAATGTTGATGAAGTCACTTAGCCAGCCTAGTGATGAAATGTCCAGAGACAAACCTCAAAGTTAAAAGAACACCAAGCAATTATCATCCTCATCTTGAGCTACAAATTTTCTCTACTTTCTCAGCGTTCCACGTGATGGTGCCCGTGCCTTTTCTGTAAACCGGATATTCAACTAGCCTAGTCACACTAATTAGAAAACGACAAGGTTATCTGAGAAATGTGATGTATTCGCGCAATAAATTTCGAACAATGTGACCACACACTTACTTGTCACAAGGCATTTTATATGAAGGAGGAAAGTAGAGTGTACCATGGGAAATAAATTTAGATAATACACGATTTAGAAAAATTGAGGATAGTAAAGAGGACTAATGCATTTACACACCTGCCTTGGCATTAAAGTGCGATAAAGACTATCAAGATAGGTTTATTTATATATTATTATTATTACTAGTCCCTTGGGTTCCTAATGGAACATAGGGCTTTCAGTAGCACGTCTACAGTGAACTCTGTTATCTGAAATCTTTTGAACCTGACTCCACGACAGCCCACAAGCTCTCATTTCCTCCTCGCATGATCTCCTCCATGCCACCCTCGGACGTCCAAATCGTCGCTTCCCATGGGGATTCCACTCGAGTGACTGGCCTGACGCGTGATGTCCTCAGTCGGCCTTCTCAGTGTATGCCCAAGCCATCTCCACTTCCTTCCACTGCATATTTGTTGCGTGATAGGTTCTTGGTTGGTTCGTTCCCAGAGCTCCTTGTTGCTTATTCTTTCTGACAATCCATCTGCTCTTCAGTAGCGAGCCAGCGTAAGCAGTTGTTGATGAATGTC